GTGCCCATGCTGGCAGGCTTTTAGTAGCTCCCCTGGCATTTACTTGTCCGACTGCTCTGATCAGAGAATACCCCAGTGGAGGAGACTGGCACAGCCACTTCTCTGAATGCTGGCAAGAAGACACTCAGACGGGCTGGGTCAAGGAACGGGAGGCAGGCTGCCCGGAAGAGCAGGAAAGGCAGGAAGCACACGCCGACACAGAAGAGTCCATCCGCTCCTGCCAAGCAAAGGGCTCGGCAAAAACAAGAGCAAGACCGGAGCAGAAGAAAACCCGGCTTCACCGGGCAGGAGCCTGTCCCGGCCGCGCCGCGGGAGCAGCGTCTCCCAGAGCCGGTGCGTGGAAGAGACGCGCCCCCTCCCCCTCCCCCCCACCCCCCCGCGAGGAAAGTGTTATAGGAGGTAGCTTTGATGTTCTGTTGTTGTGTTCTACGTTACTCATGTGACAGAAAAGGAAAGTGGCCATGAACACACCCTTCATCTGCCCTCACCTCAGAGAGGTGAGCACCAGGGACCCTCAGAACCGGTGTGGGGACAGGACTGCGTGGGGACGGGACATGGTGACACTGTGGGGACGGGACACGGTGACACCGTGGGGACGGGACACGGTGACACTGGGGACGGGACACGGTGACACCGTGGGGACGGGACACGGTGACACTGGGGACGGGACACGGTGACACCGCGGGGACGGGACACGGTGACACCGCGGGGACGGGACACGGTGACACCGCGGGGACGGGACATGGTGACACTGGGGACGGGACACGGTGACACTGGGGACGGGACACGGTGACACTGTGGGGACGGGACACGGTGACACTGGGGACGGGACACGGTGACACCGCGGGGACGGGACACGGTGACACCGCGGGGACGGGACACGGTGACACCGCGGGGACGGGACACGGTGACACCGCGGGGACGGGACACGGTCGGGTCCCCTCGAGGCGCGTGAGAGGCCGCTCCTTCCTTAATACTGGACGGAAGGTCCACCGTGGCTTTCAGAAGCCAGGCGTTCAGAAATGGGGGCTGTGCTCACGCCAGGTGTGGAAGGGCCCGGCGTGGGCGAGCTTTGAGCACCCAGTCCTGTGTGGTTCCGTCACCAGAAAGCCCCGGGCCCTGGGGTGAGCTCTGCCCCTCGGTGCTGGGCCCTCACCAGCCGCCCTTGGTGGGGTGTGGAACAGAGACGCTGGCCGTGGGCAGGACTCCCCCCCCACGAGCCTCCTGCAGCGCGGAAGCGGCCGCCGAGGCTGGGCGGGCCCTGCCCCTGCCCTGGAACCCGCTCATGTCCACACTGAAAAGACATGGCTTCCTGCTCCTCTCCACCCAGGCTGCCTCGGCGGCCGGTGCCGGTGCATGTGCGGCAGGGACGGCCTGGCCCAGCCCGGCCAGGCCCGACAAGGACTCAGGCCGCCTCTCACACGCGGTGGAGACAGCTACAGTTTCCACCTGAGGCGCATTTTAAGGAAAATGAAGTCTAAGGGGAAAAACCTTCTTACGGAGCGGGCCGCGGCGGGCGGGCGGCCACATCCTGTGTGGGCCTCTGACTCAGTGTCAGGTTCCTCTTTCAGGCAGGTCCTGGGGTCACATGGCACCTGCTGTTCAAAACACCTCCGTAAAGAGAAGCCTCTGCGGCGGCGGAAAAGCTGAATAAGAAGGTGGAAACGATCGGTGGGAACGCGGGGGCGCCTCCCACAGCCCTATCGGAGAGAGCCGCAGAGCCGGAAGACTGACCTCATGGAGAGGATGGTGGCGGGAGAGGAGGGGTCTGTGCCCGCCGGCCACCCACAGCCCTGCCGCCTCGGCGCACCCACCGCCGGCCCAGGGCCGGGAGGGGTCTGTCCCCGCCGGCCACAGCCCTGCCGGGGTCGGGAGGGGTCTGTCCCCACTGGCCATAGCCCTGCCACCTCGGGCGCACCCACTGCCCGCCTGGCGGCCTGGGGCCGGGCACATGGGTAGACGTCAGTAGTGCGGCCGGTGGTGACCCGGCAGGCCGTCCGACAGCGCCAATGCCGTGCCCACACAGCTGCCCTGCCACCAGATTCGCTGTCCGCCCCCCCGCTGGCCCCCCACTGGCCCGCGGTGCCCCCCAGAGGCTGCCCCCAGGGGCTGTGCTCATCCCTGAGAAATCTGACAGTCCTGACTGGGCGCCGCGAGGCCGGGACAGGAAGGGGACCCGCCCGCGGCACCTTGGCCACGGCTGTGGGAGGCACTGGACGCTCCCGTGAGGCCTCCGCCCCGAGGGCCCCCAGCTGACCCCGAGCTGACCCCGAGCGGCCCGAGGACGCGCAGCCCAGGCCAGGCTAAACACTGCGGTGTGTGTGGGCCACCAGGCAGCAGCTGGAGCCCCTGCGCTGGTCCCCAGCCACCCCAGTGCCCGGTGGGCGCGGGGGAAGCCCACAGCCACGGGTCTTCCCCTCCAGCCTTCAAGCAGGTGTTGTTTTGCATGGTCCATGGTGACTAGATTCTCCACTGCTGGCCTCCATCCTCCACTGCTGGCCTCCATCCTCCCCACAGCCTCCATCCTCCCCACAGCCTCCATCCTCCCCACAGCCTCCGTTCTCCCCACAGCCTCTATCCTCCCCACAGCCTCCATCCTCCACTGCTGGCCTCCATCCTCCCCATAGCCTCCATCCTCCCCACAGCCTCCATTCATTCACCACAGCCTCCATCCTTCCCACAGCCTTTATTCTCCCCACAGCCTCCATTCACCACAGCCTCCATCCTCCACTGCTGGCCTCCATCCTCCCCACAGCCTCCATCCTCCCCATAGCCTCCATCCTCCCCACAGCCTCCATTCACCACAGCCTCCATCCTCCCCACAGCCTCCATTCACCACAGCCTCCATCCTCCCCACAGCCTCCATCCTCCCCACAGCCTCCATTCACCACAGCCTCCATCCTCCCCACAGCCTCCATCCTCCCCACAGCCTCCATCCTCCCCACAGCCTCCATCCTCCCCACAGCCTCCATTCACCACAGCCTCCATCCTCCCCACAGCCTCCATTCTCCACCACAGACCATCGCTGTGGTCCCTCAGCCCTCAAGCCCGCCCTGGTCTCCGGTGGAGTGGCTCTTCGCCCACTGCTGAGTCATCCCTGAGAGCTCGGTGGACTGTGGGCTCTGGTGTCAACGCAGAAGAGGTTCAAACGCTTGCTGGTGCATGGTGTCCCGTCCACTGCCTGGGGCCTGTGCGCGCTCCGCGTCTGGGGTGGCTCCTCGCCCCTCCTTGGCATTTCTCGTGGCCCAGGCTTTCCTGCCCACCAGCTGCCCGGGGGCCCGGTGGGAGCTTCATGCTGACTCTGCCCCTGCCCAGGACCTTGGTCTGAGAAGCAGTCCTCAGAGTCCCGTCCCGCCCGAGGCTGGGGCCAGGGAAGGACAAGCTAGCCCCTGGTCATCAGAGAGGCAGGCAATGGGGGCAGAGGGGCATCCCATGGAGCCCTGGCGTGGTCTTCATGGAGCCGAGCCCTCTTGGCTTGGCTCAGAGAAGTCTAAGTTGCAGACCAGCCTTTCCCTTCCTGACAGAGCCCCAAGGGGGCGGAGGGCTGCGGGTTTTCTCTGTCACCTGCTGTTTTATGTGAGCATGGCGAGGCCCCGTTTAAATGGCCGAGCAGTGGGCTGATGAGGGAGGCGCAGCACCCCAGCCCCCTGCCCCGGGGCGTCCCTGGCTTACGCTGGGGGGTGCACAGACGGGGTCAGAGGTCACTGTCCCGCCACAGCAAGGCAGCGGGGGGCCCTGGGGGCCTGCATCACCCGCAGGGCCGGCCGGCAGCACACAGAAGACGGCCACTCTGTCCCGACACAGGGCACGTCTCAGGCTGTGTGGCAAGCCCCACGCCCACGTCCCGGTGTCATGGAAAGTGCCGGTAGCTAAGGAGCCGCTGCATGCACTCCAGGGACAAGTTGAGTCCTGAGCGCTGGTCCCCGACCAGCCGTGAGCACCTGGGCCTTGTTGTTCATTAGTGGCTGCGGAGCCACGGGACCGGGGGAGCCTGCCTTGCCTCTGGGGTTTTCCACACCGAAGGCCAGGTCCTGAGGTTGGGGATCAACACAGATCTCCATGAAGCAGGCCGCGCGCGCGGCGGGGGCTGGGCCGGGGCCTCTGCCTTCTGTGTGACAGTTCAGCTCCCCGCCAGCCCGGGCTGCAGGCACATAGACACAGGGTGGCAGGCCGAGCCGCAGCTCCCCCTCGCCCTCCACGGCTCCAGCTCTGTTTGTGGCCAGGCTTTCTTCTGTTATCGGTTCCCATGACACAATTCCTGGTTCCCCGATGCACTTTATTATTGTTATTCTTAACGCTGTGTCGGGCGGGTGTTGAAAGGAGCTGGGGAAGGGAGCGGGCAGTGGAGTTCTCGCCCACTGACGGCTCCAGGAAACCGTCCTCAGACCGGGAGGACCTTATCTGGGCGCAGGCCCCGCAGCTGGAGGAGGGCAGCCTGGGCCGCCCGTGATGTCAGCGCGGGCCCCACCCCCGGAGTGTCAGGAAAGTGGGACACCGTGACGCCACCCTGCGACATTTCCTATCTGAGTGCTGATCGGGGCTGGCCTCTGCCAGGCTCCTCATTTCCTGCCTATCTGCCAAAAATCACACACACTCTGACACTGAGCCTGACCCTCACAGGGAAACGGCAACACAAGGCCCCCAACCAGGAGGCGCGAGGCTGGCGTGGCTGGCTGCCGGCTGTGGCCGCACACCCTCACCCGGGAGGCAGCTGTGTCCACGGCTCGTTCCCCAGCAGGAACGCGTCCCTGTGTGGACCTCTGGCCGGCTGTCGAAGGCCCGGGCAGCACTGTGCCAGCCCTGCTGAGTCCCTGCCCAGCAGGCACCACCTCTCGGAGCGACTGGGCGGGAGCAGGAGGGGGCAGCCAGCCTGTGCGGGGCCACGTTGTCCCAGGCTGGATGTAGCTGATTGGAGGTGCGGCCGCGGTCTTTCCCGTCTCCCTGTGTGGCTTTCCGTGGAGGGCGGTTCTGTAACGCTCTCTCCTCTTGCTTTCTTGCAGTAAACGAGATCATATGCAACGACCTCTCCAGCACAAGCTCCAACACATAGGTGAGCGCGGCGGAGCTGGCGGGAGCAGGTGGCGGCGGCTCAGCGCAGACGCCGGGCTCCAGCAGGCAAGACTGTCCACGAAACAGACGGCACCCGCACCTGGTGCCCCCAGAACCTCCACCTTCCCAGATGCTGAGAGCTGGACTTGGCCATCAACGTACAAGGACGTAGCTCCCGAAGGAGGAAGGAGGGGAAGCGGGAGAGCGCATTCCTGAGGACAAGCCATCTCAAGGACACGGAGGGCCAGCAGGGAGGCCAGGGCCAGAGGCTGGCCTCCCGGGAAGAGCCCCGTGGGCCCCGATTTCAATACTGGAAGTGCCTTACTCATCCCTCCCCCCCCCATCCAGATGCCGTGGACACCAGCATTGGGTTTGCTGCCATGAGAGTATTCGTAGGAACAAAAACTAGAAAAACATTTCATGAGGCTTTAACCTTGCCAGGACCCGAGTTCTGGCAAGCTAGGGGTTGTGAGACACACCCAGTAGGCTTCCCAATTCCCTGGCTGTCCTACACAACACACTGCCTTGCCTGGTGCGTTCTAAGGTCTTCCGATGGCCGTCTCTAGTTCCTTCAGAGCACTCTCTCCTCCGTGTGAGTAAAATCGTAGGGTTGTGAATAGTAGCATGCTGAGATTTCTGTTTTTCAATGTGGCTTTGGGCATAGCACAAGACAGGGACTGGGCAGGAAAGCAAGCTGCCTGGCATACCTTGCACGTGCATGTGTGTAGATAGGCATGCATTTATGTACCACTAGTAAATGGCAGAGACGGTGAGGGCCAGGCTGGGCCCGGCCAGGGCTTCTGCAGTAGCAATACTCAGCGTCCGTTTTGGAGAATTTACCCAGGAGTCCAGACCCGCTCTCCAGCGCCTCCCGTTGGGAGCAAGACCCCGCGCAGACAGAGAGTACTCGCACATCTCACGCGGCCACAGCCCTTCCGAGTGCCGGAGAGCTGAGCGCCGGAGAGCCGAGCCCAGATGCCCCTGGGTCACCACAGGCAGACCTGGCGAGGAGCTGTAAATAGCCGCCACAAGGAGTGTAATATATTTGTTCAATTATAAGATTATTATTTCACAGAAGCCTTATCGCGCTCTGCTTCATCTAAGAAAACAATTACCAAAAAACGACATGTTCATAGGCAGCCACGCGGTGTTTTCAGATTAGTTACTGTTCACGGATAGGCTAGCGTAGGCTTTCCCGCTGCATTTGTACAATTAGCTGCTCATTACGATTGCTAGCAGTGACCTACTATTTCATGTAACCAAAAAGCATGGTTTAATTAAAACATGTTTAATGACTGTGCCTTAGGAGTTTGCGCCCCCTCATGGAAAACGCCTGAGTGGCCCGTGGGGCAGCCCTAAGTCGACAGACGGAGGGGCCTCGGCTCCTCTGCACGGCTGCGTCTGACCCTTAACTCGCAGAAACACAAGTCCAAAAGCCATATGTGAACACGCGCGTGGCGCCGAGAGACGGCTGGCCTTCGCGCAGAGCTCCCGTGCCGTCTCCGCGTTGCATGCTGCCTGCGGACACAGGTGTTCAGTGTGTGTGTCCGCTATCTTTGTAGTTAGAAAATGGATCCAATAAAGCAGTATTTTTTTTGCTGGACCGTCTGAGCACGACTCGTTACCCAGTGGGAAGTTCTGCTTTGCTCTCCAGCACCCGCGTGCAGGCCAGGCTGGCCGTCCACGGCCGCCTGCCCACAGGAAAGCCGCGTCTCCCTCAGAGCCGCTGGCGTCTTCCTGGTGCGTGGAGAGGTCCGTGGGAACGGGGCCAGGCACCCGGCGAGGCCCCCGCAGGCCCTCCAGCCCAGGTGGGGAAGGAACACTCCTTTATGCCAAATTCTTCGGCTCTCCCAGAGACAGGCCGGGTGCAGCCTGGCCACCCACCCTGCCGTTGTGAGAGCGTGCCCGTTCACCCGTGCCGGGGCTGCCGCGCCCACCGCGCCCCCTGCCTCCTCCCGCCCCATCCACACCCCTCCTGCAAGCGTGGGTGGGAAGCAGTACGGAACCACCCGAGACCAGGGCCAAACCTCCGCCTCCACAGTCATCTCAGTACGTGCTGGAAAGATCTTCTGCTTCCAGGACTTTCCTTCTTTCACTAAAAGGAGTGCTGACTGACAACGTCCCGGAGAAATCGGCCTCCTCCAAAGCAGTATACAAACGTCCATCCCACCAGGTTCCTACCTGGAGGACTTCAGGCTCCACCACATGGTCCAGACGCCCTCTGAGGGCTGGGAGAGACCAGGATGGCCACACTCAGGCTCTGAAGGACGGTGAGGCCCAGGAAGGGTCTGGACCCGAAGGCAGCAAGCAGCTGACCCCCAGAGAGCTCAGGAGCCGCCCGGGCTTTTGCTGTGGACACGGCCCCTTCCGCATGTTGGTAAACTCTTTTGCCCAATCCCAGCATGAAAGTACATACACAGTTAGAAAATGACGCATCCTTCCCTGGAGGCCCAGCGTATTGATTCTGAGTAATGGGGAAGTGTTATTAAATAAGCCCTAGCTTCATTTCTAGCCAAGAGGCTACGAGGGTCAGGAGAAATCCACCAGCAGTTGTGTGTGCTTCTCGGCCCCCTAGACCACGGTTTTGTTATTCCTGGGGAGCCGGGGGAGACGTCACCCTAACTGGGACCTGGGGCCTCGATGCAGCTGGTGTTGGAGGGCCTGTGTAGCGTCATCCTCGGTAGCAAAATCATCCAGGAGTCTCAAAAACAGGAGTTCTCTAGACTTATGCAAAACAGGAGAGCAGGGACCCCGGGGCCAGCCTGCATCATTGCTCTTGGCCTGAGGCGACACAAACTCGTATCAATAGATCCGATGAATCTCAATCTCCCTCACAACCCACCGCAGCTTTCCCGAAGGGGCAAGAGCTTGGGCCTGGCCGGTCCACGTCCACCCATCCTCACCCCCTCCCCAGGGGCACGTCCACCCATCCTCACCCCTCCCCAGGGGCACCCCTCCCCGCCCCACTTGGGGACCCGGGTGGAGGGGGCACTGCCCGCCTTGCAGTGCCTGCCACCTTGGGGCCCGCAGAGCCGTGGAAGGGGCTTCAGCACACACTGGGGGCCATGCCTGCCACTCCAGCGACAAGGGAGGCATCAGCAGGAAAATCGGAGACCCTATCGGATAGCTTTAGAAGGCACGTCAACTGAGGCCAGCAAACTGCACGCCAAGTGAGCGTGGAGAACTGGAGAAGAGAGCCTCTCGCTCAGGTCAGAGAAGCCCTGGGTCTGTTGCTTTACAACTGAGGTGAAATGTACATGACACGGGATGAGGGCTGCAGACTGTGAAATTCAGGAGCGCTGCGGCTCATTCCAGCGGCTGCAACGCCTCTGATTCCAAGACATTCTCAGCACCCACAGGAAAAACTTCTGTTTTCCTCAGAGCTGCTGGCACCCACAGCCTGCCCTCTGCCCTGCGGGAGCAGGCCTCAGAGCAGCTGGTACCGACAGCCTGCCCTCTGCCCTGCGGGAGCAGGCCTCAGAGCAAATGGTACCCACAGCCTGCCCTCTGCCCTGCGGCCTGCAGGCCTCAGAGCAGCTGGCACCCACAGCCTGCCCTCTGCCCTGCGGGAGCAGGCCTCAGAGCAGCTGGCACCCACAGCCTGCCCTCTGCCCTGCGGGAGCAGGCCTCAGAGCAGCTGGCACCCACAGCCTGCCCTCTGCCCTGCGGGAGCAGGCCTCAGAGCAGATGGTACCCACAGCCTGCCCTCTGCCCTGCGGGAGCAGGCCTTAGAGCAGCTGGCACCCACAGCCTGCCCTCTGCCCTGCGGCCTGCAGGCCTCAGAGCAGCTGGCACCCACAGCCTGCCCTCTGCCCTGCGGGAGCAGGCCTCAGAGCAGCTGGTACCCACAGCCTGCCCTCTGCCCTGTGACCTGCAGGCCTCAGAGCAGCTGGTACCCACAGCCTGCCCTCTGCCCTGCGGGAGCAGGCCTCAGAGCAGATGGTACCCACAGCCTGCCCTCTGCCCTGCGGCCTGCAGGCCTCAGAGCAGCTGGCACCCACAGCCTGCCCTCTGCCCTGCGGGAGCAGGCCTCAGAGCTGCTGGCACCCACAGCCTGCCCTCTGCCCTGCGGGAGCAGGCCTCAGAGCTGCTGGCACCCACAGCCTGCCCTCTGCCCTGCGGGAGCAGGCCTCAGAGCTGCTGGCACCCACAGCCTGCCCTCTGCCCTGTGACCTGCAGGCCTCAGAGCAGCTGGTACCCACAGCCTGCCCTCTGCCCTGCGGGAGCAGGCCTCAGAGCTGCTGGCACCCACAGCCTGCCCTCTGCCCTGCGACCTGCAGGCCTCAGAGCTGCTGGCACCCACAGCCTGCCCTCTGCCCTGCGGGAGCAGGCTCACCTGCAGGCCTGTGCCCCGCCTTTCCCACCCCACCCTCCAACCCCCTGTCGGCAGTGAGTGAACACCACGCACACTCCTGAGTGAAACGCTTCCTCTGCCCGTCCACCTTCTACCAGAGAGCCGCTTCCCGCCACGGACTGCTGTGCCCCTTGCACAGGTGTTTGCTTCCCTCCCTGCTTTCAGGGAGATGGTCACACAGGAGGAGAGGGGAGGACGGGGATGGCCACACAGGAGGAGAGGGGAGGACGGGGATGGCCACACAGGGGAGGACGGGGATGGCCACACAGGAGGACGGGGATGGCCACACGGGAGGACGGGGATGGTCACACAGGGGAGGACGGGGATGGCCACACAGGAGGACGGGGATGGTCACACAGGAGGAGAGGGGAGGACGGGGATGGTCACACAGGGGAGGACGGGGATGGCCACACAGGAGGACGGGGATGGCCACACAGGAGGACGGGGATGGCCACACAGGGGAGGACGGGGATGGTCACACAGGGGAGGACGGGGATGGCCACACAGGGGAGGACGGGGATGGCCACACAGGAGGACGGGGATGGTCACACAGGAGGAGAGGGGAGGACGGGGATGGCCACACAGGGGAGGACGGGGATGGCCACACAGGAGGACGGGGATGGCCACACAGGAGGACGGGGATGGCCACACAGGGGAGGACGGGGATGGTCACACAGGGGAGGACGGGGATGGCCACACAGGGGAGGACGGGGATGGCCACACAGGAGGACGGGGATGGTCACACAGGAGGAGAGGGGAGGACGGGGATGGCCACACAGGGGAGGACGGGGATGGCCACACAGGAGGACGGGGATGGCCACACAGGAGGACGGGGATGGCCACACAGGGGAGGACGGGGATGGTCACACAGGGGAGGACGGGGATGGCCACACAGGGGAGGACGGGGATGGCCACACGGGAGGACGGGGATGGCCACACAGGGGAGGACGGGGATGGCCACACAGGGGAGGACGGGGATGGCCACACGGGAGGACGGGGATGGTCACACAGGAGGAGAGGGGAGGACGGGGATGGCCACACAGGGGAGGACGGGGATGGCCACACAGGAGGACGGGGATGGCCACACGGGAGGACGGGGATGGTCACACAGGGGAGGACGGGGATGGCCACACAGGGGAGGACGGGGATGGCCACACGGGAGGACGGGGATGGCCACACAGGGGAGGACGGGGATGGCCACACAGGGGAGGACGGGGATGGTCACACAGGGGAGGACGGGGATGGCCACACAGGAGGACGGGGATGGCCACACAGGGGAGGACGGGGATGGTCACACAGGGGAGGACGGGGATGGTCACACAGGGGAGGACGGGGATGGTCACACAGGGGAGGACGGGGATGGCCACACAGGGGAGGACGGGGATGGCCACACAGGGGAGGACGGGGATGGTCACACAGGGGAGGACGGGGATGGCCACACAGGGGAGGACGGGGATGGCCACACGGGAGGACGGGGATGGCCACACAGGGGAGGACGGGGATGGCCACACAGGGGAGGACGGGGATGGTCACACAGGGGAGGACGGGGATGGCCACACAGGAGGACGGGGATGGCCACACAGGGGAGGACGGGGATGGTCACACAGGGGAGGACGGGGATGGTCACACAGGGGAGGACGGGGATGGTCACACAGGGGAGGACGGGGATGGCCACACAGGGGAGGACGGGGATGGCCACACAGGGGAGGACGGGGGAGGACGGGGATGGCCACACAGGGGGACAGGGGAGGACGGGGATGGTCACACAGGAGGACGGGGGAGGACGGGGATGGCCACACAGGGGAGGACGGTGATGGCCACACAGGGGAGGACGGGGATGGCCACACAGGGGAGGACGGGGATGGCCACACAGAGGAGGACGGGGATGGCCACACAGGAGGACGGGGATGGCCACACAGGGGAGGACGGGGATGGCCACACACGGGAGGACGGGGATGGCCACACAGGGGAGGACGGGGATGGCCACACAGGGGGACAGGGGAGGACGGGGATGGCCACACAGGAGGACGGGGGAGGACGGGGATGGCCACACAGGGGAGGACGGGGATGGCCACACAGAGGAGGACGGGGATGGCCACACAGGAGGACGGGGATGGTCACACAGGAGGACGGGGATGGTCACACAGGAGGACAGGGGAGGACGAGGATGGTCACACAGGGGGACAGGGGAGGACGGGGATGGTCACACAGGGGGACAGGGGAGGACGGGGATGGATAGGGTTGCAGGC